CAATTGTGACCAAATATGCGTAGGAGAAATCAACCTATACTCGCTGAATGCACACGAGAATATTTACATTGCATCTTGATTAAAGATCAAGATAAACCTGTAGCTCGGCACTTCATGAAAACTGATCATTCCCGTAAGCACTTTAAAGTACTTTCCCTGCGATATGCCCCTTCCAACACCAATCAAAGAACCACTATCGAAAAAATCATTTTCAAATTGGGTTGTTTAAGCTTTTTATAAACATTGTAAAATAATCTTTATTTAGTACCTTAAAATGTTTAAGTTATTTCTTTCTTTGCTTTGTAAACTTGTTTTTCTAGTTGTAATAATTTGTATTACTTTTTTAATCACTACTGTACTCATTTTTCTTTATAAGAACATACAATTTTAGTAGTGCTTACAATCTATAAAGAAATCAAAAAATAAATATATAAACTAGAAGTTTTACATTTATGGTACAAATGCTTTTAAATGCTGACTAAGGAGGATTGTTTTCAAAATACAAAAAATATGAAACGTAGTTGCCAGCTGAAACACTGAGATTTGCAATGTGATGTTTTTCCCCACTTTAACTAAATCAGTGCATGTTGTAACGATGTACTTACCTACAACTGCACTTATTTTCTTATCTCTTGTGTGATTAGTATATTTATCACTTTTTGTTATTGTTGAAGCACTAATGGTATTTGCATGCACATTGTTGTAATAGTTAAGACATTATAAACTTAAGCAAGATGTATATGAGATGGGGATTGGTTATTTGATGTTGTGTAATGCACATTTGCTGGAAGTGCTCAACTTTATACACCTTTTTTTTCATTGCTGTGATGCTTATGCATACTCCCCTAACTTAGGAAGCAATTAGCGTTTCATTGTGTGTTTATAGATTACTGTAATTAACAGTTATATACACTGTTTCTTTATCCAGCATAGAATGTGTCACTACACACATTATGATCGAAACCTGCCATGAAATCAATTGTTAAAGCATAGTTGAAAACCCAGAGTTTTACTTATCACAATTCTTAAAACTATCATGTAGGATAATTATTGGAATGGAGAGGATTCTCTTTTGGTAATTTTTTGCACATTCAGTCATTAACATGGTGTTAAGAAAATTGAGTTTTTCTTAATATATCTCAAAGCCCAAGCTAGACCATGGTGCATAGGTAAATAAGATTTCTAAAGTTTATTTAGATCTCAAAAGCTTTATGCAATTTAATGGGAAAACTGGTGTCTTATGCGTCGTTTACTCTAAATTTCATACAAAAAAAAAGGTGTGAAATAATATTAGACAGTCTTGTAACTTTATGACGTCATCTGATAAGGTCTTTATTGAGTTTATAAGATTTCTACGAGGTTTTCTGCAAACAGTTTTTACCAAGAAGTCTACAGTATAGTTACCCTTTATTTTCACATTTATCCATCTCTTTTAATAAAAGAGTAGCATATTATTACACCTTATTTCTGTACTAGTGTTATACTATTAAATAATCATTTACAGTGGCATAGGAAGCAGGGGACCTTAGCCTCCACACTTTTCAATCTGTTCCAGTAAAATAGCATCAAAATTAGGAAAATTGCTCTCATGAAAAACAGGAGAATGCATAAAATTTAATCCAGAACTCAAGAGCTTCCAGGGTCCTAAGGTGAACCATGGACACTAACCATAACAGGTGTACCTATGGTGCAGATTTCCTCACTTTCATTGGTTAAATCAACTTTGGGTCTCCCACTTTTAATTTGTCTGCCAAACTGTGTAGGCACTTCTGCATTTATATTTGCTAAAGAACACTCTGCCAAAATGTTTTGTAATGTTGACCAATTTGATATGTATACATAATCACTATATGAGATATTAAATGAACATAACATTCAATAACAAAAACTTAGAAAAATATCTAGCACTATTTAAGTTAAGAAAGAGCTTTAAACCTAACCAAGATAGAATATATAGCATTTTTCATAATAAATTCTGTTTATTCTCTTAAGAGAAATTACAATAATTACTATATAGTAACTGCATATTAAAGTACTACATGAAACATTAAATGAACAACTTACTATTAAGTTAATGTAAATGTATATAAAAAATAATGCACCTCGTACCTTTGCATGAATAATCAAATTATAGAACTTAGTCTTCTCATAATCCAATGGTTTGTTAACTGTTACCAACCCTTGATAAGGTAGGCTGATGGTAAAGTATTTGTAGCCATCATTCTAGCAAAGGAAAGGTTATTTTTAATGCAACATGTGAACAATGTATTAATATTCTCTAAAAATACAAATAATTACATATAAATATATACAACTTATATTGTGTGAAACTAAAAACAAATCATTTGTTTACACTTTTAAGAGGAATCAATTTTTTTACCATTGTTGTAAAACAAAAATGTATTCTTAATATCAAACTGTATGTACAGTTTAATATTTTTCAACAGATAGTAAAAACATTTTCAATTCCAATATTATTCCTCAGGTTGAGATCATTGTTAAATTAAAATTCTTCTTGTTGCAATTTAAATTACAGATATGCACACAGTACTACATGCACTTAAAGGAAAATACATTTGCCGGTGTATAAGACGACCCTGGACTTTTTGAGCAAATTAAGTGTATTTCTTTGAGGTTCAGTGTGTACGACGACCTCTAATTGTCAAGCAAGTCTAAGATATTACTTTTGTAAAGAAATTCTCAGAATGTATATTATAATATACTAACCTGCGCTCTGGAGTAATCAATACAACCACAAGTGTGGTTTTTTATGCTCTTCAAACGCTACGGCCAGATTAATGCGGCATGACTTAAGTTACAAACACCTTTACAAAGTTTTCATCACAATTGAATTCCTCTTCTATTACAAAAAATACTAAACCCTAAGATATAGTGATCTACTCTAAAAACATGTTTACAAAATTAGTGTACATTACAAAAAATTAACTTTTTGATATAATATTAGCAATAATTTAGTATGACGTATGAGATCAATAAATTTCAAATCAAAAATGTCTTGATTAACTGTAACTAGCATGTGACATAACTTCTAGTTAAGAAGAATCGTGACAAATGATACAGTCACAATATGTTATTGTAACGCAGTAGGTGGCACGATGCCAATGCACTTACTCAAAAAGCAAATAAAAGTAAATGGAATAACGTAGTTTTGATTGAATATGCTACTCACGGGAGATCTCTTACCAGATCTCTATCTTTGAACCTGTGGATGAGACGAGGGGTAAAATCAAGCATTGTTTTAAGATTAAAAAGTATCGTTTTATACACGGGCAAATGCGATATGTGATTTTCAATATATGCTTGACTATGATATCACTTGCATATGGATCTTGGTGTTGTGGTTTATCAGCCTTGTGCTCAGTATGCTGTTGCTAGTGGTAGAGCAAATAGAACTTTAGGCTGTATTTACAGAAATGCTTAATATGTTTAAAAAGATTATAATTTCATTGTAAGTCACTGGTTGGGCAACATATGAAGTATTGTGTTCAGTCTTGGACTTCTTACTTTAAGAAGGGCATTCAATTGTTGAAAAGGGTTCAAAGAAAGGCTACTAGGATGGGAAGATTGCCATACAAAGATAAAATAAGATCTCTAAAAGTGTTTTCTCTTGAGAAAAGTTAGAGGTATTCTGATCGAGGTGTTTAAGATTGTTAGGGAATTGATAGTATTGATGCAACATTTTTTAATGTACTCAATGGTGAGAATAATAGGGAAAGGGGACAAAAATATAAATTTTGGCAGGGTAGGAGACTAAAAGTCATCTTCAGCTAAGACAGTTTTATTTTTCCAACAAGATAGTTGGCCCTTAGTACCTTCAAATGTAGTGAGCGGTAAATTTAAGGGAGTTTAAGGGAAGGCTTGATAAATATTTAAATGGTAAGTGCTGGCTAAGCAAGTAGAAAGACTTAAATATGTACATATTCATAAGTACTGCTGCCATGGGAGTCTTGCCTATGCAATTTTATTCCCTTTTACTTCTTAAAATTGTTCTACCTAGGTGTAATGCAAAAGTTCACTGTTATTAGAGTAAATACGTATATATACATATTTTTTTGTGCAATGATTTATAAGCCTAAAGAAATGTGTACTTTCTCAGTAAACTTTTAACACATTAACAAAAAATCTGGATCTATACTATATTATTACTCTGTATTCATTAGTAATAGTATGTAAATATAAGATTCTTTCCCACATATAACTTGGATTTGGTTCATTGTATTGTGTTGTTTCATTCACTAATGAATAGTGTTATTCTAAAATAAAACAACAACATAGTTTTAGTATTCAAACTAACTAAATCGTGCCAGTGATTGGTTAAATTTAAAAACTAAAAACTACACAGAATTAGAAATCTAATGCATACCAATTTACCATCACCTGGAACTGTAAAGTATTCCACCAGGCCATTGCTACCTGCATCCTTATCTACTGCAGACAAATCTCGGAAAACAGTTGTACCTACAGGAGCCAACTACAACAAAAAACATTGTTAAAACAGAATTAATTAACAAAATGGCATTGGAAACTACTGATTTTTTTATTTGTAAGAATAAATGCACATTAATGCGATAATTTGACTTAATAATAACATTTTAAAAATCCAGTTTTACTATGATGGTAGTTACGTTTAACTTCAGAAAGGAGCTGCGAACGATTACGAGGCTGTAACTACCTGTAACTTGGTCATGTTTCACCACTCGTGATTTTAGTTAATAGATTCGACTCATTATAACTGTTATATACTTATAGTATTATAACTACAAAGCTATAAAATACGATCGTCACTTATTTGATATTAAGCATTTGAAAATATTTGGTCGATTATCCAAACATGACGTATTACCATTTGTTTCGTCAAAATGAAGTTAAATAATTTAGAAATAATACCGATCACAGCAACTTTGCTTACAAATTATTTAACAGCAACATTACCTTACGTATCCTGTCCTACTGTAAGCTTACCTCAGAAACTCTAGTAGTATAAGACAATGACGTAAATTCTGGTGGATTATCATTGATATCAACAATACGCACAAGCACTGGGACGCTTTTCTACAAGAGAAGAAAAATTCTGTAGATACAGAGAGTCAATGCAACCATTAAAAAACAAACAAACATGAGATGAGAAGTGAATATTTCCAGGTCTGAATAAAATATAATAAAGAATAAATTGACACTTCTAAATGAAAACGTTTTATAGCTTTATTTTATGCGATGTTTCGGGCAGACATCCTTCGTTAGGCAGTAAATACCATGTTACAATAATTAAAAACAAGTTCATTGGAACATGGTCTTTACTGCATAACGAAGAATGTCTGTCCGAAACGTCGCACAAAGTAAAACTATAAAAAGTTTTCATTTAGTATCAGTTTATTCTATCTTATCTTTTATCCAAATTTTTCTTCTCACACCTTGCGGGACAACATTCATTGAAGAATTTCGAGACTTGAATAATTTTACATTTTTTTAATTAAACATTGTAAATTATTACTAGCTGGTTACAATTATAACAGTTGTAATATATTAGGAATTAAACATATGGTTCAACAGTAATAGAATGGATTATTGTTAATAACTTTTACTACATTTTCATCGTTTTTGTTTCAGAGATTAATTAAAATTAATGGAACATTAGTTGTTTTAGTATTATTGCTAGTTAGTTTCGATGTCTAGTTTACTCTTTAATTTGTAAAGTCTGACAGAATAGATTTTAAATGTAACATAAAAATACAGTAAAATACACGAGCAGATCAGATATGATGTTACACCTTATGAAAGAAAGATTTGCTTCAACATAATAAGGCCCAGTGGCTTTAAAGCTTTAACGCTAAAATTGCTAAGGCCCGATCCCCCTGGCAGTCACAGCGCAAATGAGCAAAAATAAACAAACACATATAAATAATAACGTATAACATACTTAGATATGTCTTTTAATTTCACTATTTTTTGTGGGTCGTTAATCCTTAAGCACCAAAAGGTAATTAATGACGCCACTGTTTTTCTAAAAGAGGGAACTTTACACACTGACTTGTACAAAAAACCTACGGACAGACCACAATACCTTCACTATAAAAGCTGTTACCCCTCTCACACTAAACGAAACATTACCTACAGTGAAGCTCTTAGAATAAAGAAAATATGCTCAGATGAAACAGACCGCAGAAAACACACCAAGGATCTAAAACAAACCATGTTACAAGGAGGATATAAAGATACCGAAATCGACAGACAAATTGAAAAGGCTAAGAACACTCAGCAGAAAAACATCCTGAATCAGATCAATATTAAACTTTCAAATAGAATTCCTCTTATTATTACCTATCAGTTTAAACTCAGAAACGTTTCACAAATTCTGAAGAAAAAACATTTTCATCTCCTACAACTGAACGATCGCCTTAAACATATATTTCCTGAAGTTCCAATTGTTTCCTTTCGAAAAAGCAGAACTCTAAAATATATCCTTGTTCACACAAAAGTGAATTACATCCGACCCAAAAATGTTTGTTGTCCGTATAATAAAGCCCGTTGTCAAACCTGCAAGTTCATAAAAATCACTGACTCATTTTCTGAGAAGCACAATCAAAGAAACTTTGAAATATCCAAAGAATACACCTGTGAAACAAAAACACCATTTACCTTATACAATGTTAAAAATGCAATTACCAATATGTAGGACATACACAAACAACTCTTAGAGAAGTTTCAACAACCATAAATTTTCTATTAACACCGAAAAAGATCTCCCTGTTGCTCAACACTTTAACCAACCCGGTCATTCCATTAGCAATGTTTCTCTCATCGGCATTGAAACAGGATTTAAAACTAAATCAGATAGAGAAATAAAAAAAGCTTATTGGATTGCTTATCTAAACACTGTTCAACCCTTTGGAATTAATCTAGATCTTGGAATCAGTGATCTCCGTTCATTGGTTTCATCTCTGTCAGAAAAATAAATTTTATTCTTTGCTTATTTTTTCATGTAATGTGAACGCTGAATTTACTAAAACTTACTATTTATTTAAGATAATTTTCCATACCTGTTTTTATTGATTGATTAACATAACATATATTTTTCAATCAGTCTCCAGGTGTCACCTTTATTTTACTTGAACACTTAAGTATAGTTTTAAACATACATATATTTATCCATTTCTAAAGTAAAATATCCCTAACAACTTTTCACATACACTCTCGCCATCGGCTACACTGTACCGGAAATGAGATGCTTACAACAGTATATAGAGAAATAGACTAAACATTTCCTGCAAAACCAGATGACCTTCATGACGTCACTAAACTCCCTTTATATATATGTATACTCATTCGATTACACCACCATTCCCAGTTTGTCCCTGAAGAAGAAGGGTCCACCTTTCGAAAGCACTTGGGTTATAGTGTTTTATTCATTTTTATCAAGACTTTTTGAATCTACGTGTTTTACCTAACATCACGAATATAAATATCGCCTGTTATGGCTAAACTAATAATCACACAGTCTAACTTCACTTTCATTAACTTAACTGTTTTTTACTTAACTTACTGGTTACCAAAGTTGTATCCAGAGCTTTAAATAATTATTTCTTTTTTCGTCAAAAGTCCACACAGCGCTCGAGTTATAGAGTTTTTATTTATTTGTATTACAGATAACTTGTTTAAGCTGATTCTTAATAGGATACTTAATAACTAAAGAATATTTACTCATAAATGGTAAATTGATAAATAAAGGGTACTTAGACACTTCAATTGAATATACAGTACAAAATTTTGCTTATTCAAATAAGTGCAAAGTATTTTGTCAATCATATCACATGGAAATATATTTTGTATTAAAAATTATTGATGTTAGTAAACTCTTTATGCATAGCTTCATACGTGCGAGATATTTTATATGCATAGTGAAATAATATGTTAACTAAATTTTCTGTGAAAACATTCGTTATGAAACTTTCAAAATTGAAATATAAACCTGTGAATGTTTTCTTGTGATAAATTGCACACTGGAATCCTCCATTGTTATTACTAATCAAGATATCCAAAAAGCATGAAAGACTCAAAAATGTATACAGAAATTTTGAAAAAATGCATGATAACTAAGTGGGTAGAAGCGTATGGTAAGCTTGTATACCACAACTGTGTGAAAACAACGATATTAGAGAGCCACATACAGATTCTAATATAGTATGGCATTCCATTAGGAATGTACCTAGCTGGCCAGGAATTTGTGTCGCATCAAGGCAATGATCCTATGCTTATAACCAATATGGTTAAAAATCGTGTGGAGACAAAACGGATAGTTAGAACACTAGAATTCCCGCCTTTGTCTGGTCAGAATTCAGATCTGAACATCACTAAGTGAATTTGGACCTACATGGATAAAGAAGAGAGCAATTAAGCAACCCATGGAATTTGTGACATTCAACATCGTATTTGAAGGAACACTGCTTGTACTTTTATCATTAAATTCTATGATAACATGTTGACCAATGTCCTGCTCTAAAGAGATCAAAAGGCTTACACACAAAATACTAATGTCGTCGGTTAGGTATTTGTATGATTCAATCTATTGTAAGTTTATATACATCAAATTAAGTTTCTGTTCTTACATGAATCGTTTTCCTTTAATACAGTATGTTTTACCAATTTTCCAAATTTTTCTTTCCATTATATATATATATATATATATATATGCACTTATATATTGAGTGTTTACTTTCTATTCATTGTTAGATTTTCCTGATATATCGTTCTTGGCTGTGTTCCTTCAGATATATTTTGTAGGATGAGTTTTGTACACAATATTATTATTAATAATATCTTGCGACTTGGGTCAGGCATTGCCTAATTGTTAGTATTTCGTTTTGTTGATCATAAGGTCAGAGTTTCAAGCCGTGATGCTGCTGAACACGTTCGCTTCCGCAGGTTTAGCTTTAGGCATTCAACAACAATGTGAGAGTCCAAATTAATCAAAAAACACACACACACACACGCATATTATCAAGTAAATATATATTGATGTGAGAAGTTATTTTTATGTTAGGGTTATATGAATATAGTGTTTATGTATTTTTGGTACACTCTAGAGTGAAGCGAAGAATAAAAAAAGCACGACAATATATTTTTTAGTACTGTGTAATATTCTCAGATTCACTGAATGACCTGTGATCCTAACCGATTTGTTAGGGTACGGACCCGTTGGGGTTAATATAGAAGTAATTGTGAACGATGGTGGAGCTTGATCGATACATTGGAGCCTCTGTGGATCTTTGAGCTCCACAGTGAAACACGATTATTTTATGTTAACTCAGCAAAACATTGAAAATTCACGTATTAACTAAGGGGATGGGAACATATGTAATCTTATATACCACAACTACATAGGCTTGTGGTATCTGATTTTGCAACTTACAGTTACGAACGTCAACTTGTCTCGACATCCAACCTGTAGTCGAATCGAAGCCAGATTTTGTACCTAAAAAAAATAAAATAATTTGAAACAAAATTTGATAATGTTTTCACTTTCTGCCATGAAACATTAGGCTAAGATACCTAAACACAACAATCAAAACAAGAATAACTACAACATAAAAACGACCCAATATCAAAATATTCTTTAGGTTATTAAGTTATCGTTCTCAGTTCTAAATCTTCCACGTTATCAATTTCAAACAGATTTTTGATGTCATTTTAAAATTTTTAAAAAGTTACAAAAAAATTAGACTAGGTTTTGAAAGTGTAAGCCCCCTGTAAACTTGAGGACTTATAACGCTAAAAGTTGGGGGTTCGATACCTGCGGTGGACGCAATGAAAATAGCACATTAGAAACAAAAAAGATCGACATGTGAAAAACCATTTCGTGTGCTATTGAAAGTTTTTATGTTAAACATTTTTATTTTGATTGCTAATATGTCTAAGCCCCCACTTAAAAAAACAAAAACAATTAATTCTATATTCCTCATTTTGATATATAGGATTCTATTTAGGTATACTGGCAAGAGATCATGTGTGAAGGCTTTATGGGAAGAAAACACGAAAAACAAATACATTAAAAGAAACCATTGATCCTATGTAACCACATTGCTATTTAGAAATAGTCTCTTGCCACCTAATTGCATGTGACAAATATAAATCCTTCATAATAAATTTAAAACAATAAAATGTGAACAGTATATTTACCATATTATTTACAAAAACAACTTTCTCTGTTTGGCAATGATATTTGTCCTCGAAATTTTAAGAACATGTTGAAGATATATTTTGTTTTCTATACTTGTTCAAGTATATGTATTATGTATCCTTTGACATTATACTTTGAGATATTTATAATAAAGTATAAAACGACTGTGTAATAGCAGCAATATTTGGGGAAGTTTTCGACGCAGATTATTAATTTTGACTGATTATATACACACATATATATATATATATATACAGTATTTCAAAACGTAAAAGACAATAATTTACAAGCAAAGAAAAAACGTAATACTTTTAAGAAGCTCAGTGAAAAGTTCAAAGTTAATCTTTCGTTATTTACAAAACAATAATATGATACCTGACAATTGGACATATCATTAAGCTTTCCTATTCGTTTTTTTTTTTTTGACACTACTCAGTTATCGACTTTTAATTCATACTTGAAAAGCATTGTTTCTGGACTGCATAGGTTTAGGAAGTTTTGGACGACGTTTCGAACTGCTAGCGCATATTTCCGGACCTTCCTAGACAGATGCAGTCCATTTAATTAACAACGTCTTTCCAGTATACTCTCCTTTGTGTAAACTTTCTCTCAAGTAAGAACGTCGATTTCGACCCGAATAGGTCTTCAGTAAATAAGCCGAAACGTCATCCCAGTCTACAAATAGACAAAAGTAGTCAATTAAAACCAAAATTCTATTATGTCTATATTGCATAAAATGCTCTCGAAACAACAATTCATTCAGTTAGCCTTCATGTCAGTCGTATATGGGGAGAAAAACTACTTTCTTTCTTTATTTACAGCACTCGCCTAATGACGCTGATGACTCGTCATTCAGGGAGCGGTAAGGCAGCTTACAGTTTGTAATATAATTCCAAGCAAAGCTTGAGCTTTCAGAACCGATGTGGTATTTGTACGTGGAAATATCTTAAGACCTGCTTCTAGGTTTTGTGTTCGACTCTATTTCCTACACAGATGCATCGCCAACCTAGATAAGTAAAAATATGGTTACGGAAAGCAGTAATAGCCACTAATATCCATATGTCAGACTTTGTGCGAATAAAGTGATGCTTTCATTCCATGATTTTCATATTAAAAATATCAAAAGTGGTACTTTTTATTGGATATTTGTTCCTGGGATCGTAAGTAACACATCTAATACCTAAAGTAAACAAGCTAATTGAATCAGTGATCATGTAGTCCAGGAATACAAGAAGTAAAAATTTAAAGTTGAACACCTTGGGATCAAAACCAGTGAAACAAATTTTTCGTTTATGTGGGAAAAGGTTTGGAAGTTAGTTAGTAACAGAAACACTTATGTATGATTATATATTCTATTTTGATGTTCTCACTATGCTGAAATGCAGATATAATTTGTTGTTAGTTGTTCTAGCGCAAAGGTACGCAATGGGCTACCTTTACTGTGTCACCCACGGGAATATAAAATTGATTTAATACGATTTGTGATTAACGCTATTTTATTACTTATAGCAATTTTTAATATAGCACTTTTTAATTTCGAAAACAGTTTAAGTGATAATGAAATGTTTTGTGGTGAACGTTTTCTAGGTTTCATAAGGCAAATTTATGAACAAATTGTAAAGGATATTGAACTTCAAGGATTCAAAACGTACTTCTTGGTTTAATATAATAAAGAATTATCTGCATGGCATATGAAATAGACATCACATTTTTCCTCAGTCATGAAGTAAACAATTTCCGTGCTGATTTAAGAAACCTTTGAGCCATGGGCAAAGAAAACCTGTAATGAGTATCCTCTGTCACTTACACTATTAAACATATCCTTAGGAATCATGCAGAATTCTTTCCATATATTTATATTTCCTGTTCTTCGTTGAGCAGGGATGGAGCATGTTTTGTTACTTAGCATGGGTGGAAGCCCCGGGCTCTAGTCGTCTTAGAGGTTCCGGGTCCCGTGCATTGACCCGGCCCTGTATACAAATAATTTGTGATATGTAGGCTAAAAACCATCAAGTTCCATTTGCGGAGTAGATGATAACGACCAATAAGAGTTTGTACGTTTTTCTAGTAAACTTAAAACAATGTGCAATGTAATGGACTGTGATTAGTTTGGAGTAGATTTGGAGATTGATTTCTTACAACGAAAAATAACGATAATTATTGAAACATCCTACAATCTAGTTGTTTTGATTCTGATATGCTAAATAACAAATCATTAGTGCAACGTTCAGAAATATTATAAGAATAAATTTATATATCATACATACAAGAGAGAAAATATACATGCATTTTGTTATTTTCAGCTGCCAAGGATAAGGAACAGAAACTACATTTCATTGTTATTCATTAGCATTCATGGAATAAATAAGAAGTAGAAATCTAAAAGACAATATGTACAATCAAAGAACGTAAACATGCGAGTTGCATGACAATAACCTGACAGAAAGCTAATAAGTAGTTCATCTTAGCGCTTTTTGTCTTCGTCTTCCACGTTTATAGTTTTTGACTAATCTCAACTAAAGTCGGCATACATCCCTAACACCCCCCACCCACTAGGAAAGTGTCTGATGCGTTTACTTTAACATTAAAAACATTTGGCATTTGGCTCTGCATTGGAAAGAAGAGAATAAGAGAAAACTAGAATGCGAAACATATTTAACAGATTACAAGTTAGTGTCGCATGATAACAAAACTATTAACAAACTTGCAAAATCAGACATTAAAGTACATGTATCGTTAATTGAACTTCAAATAAATGTAGTTTTTAATACAAAAATATAAATACTCAAATTAGGTATCAAGATCCATACGATTGTTAGCTCAGTGTTGTCATTCTGCTTATAATAAGCAGAATTGCGCTTGTTTTTTTAATGGCTTTAATATTTTTGAAAGCCGCGGGTTACGGGTTTTGGGGCTTGTTTTTTTCTGAGGTCGCTTATTTGTATTTTGTAATAGCTGAATTCAATACACAGTAAAGCGGTTATAGGGGTGGCTTTTGGTGATTTGGTAATTACAATTTTAGAATCATCCTATCCCCTCTCCTTTTTTGGGTCGCCCACTCGACACATTCTTTATAACAACCGCGCAAATCGCCATTTTGAGGGTAGCCATAAAGAGCAGTTTTTAAAGTCAGTGCTGCTTGTTTTGAACGGCAGTGCTAATTGTTTTGGGCTTGTTTTGAAAGGCAGTGCCACATTTTTGGGGTTATTTTGAACGGTACTCCGCTTATTTTTTCGCGGCACTTTTCAACATTGGGTTAGCTGAGAAATGCCTTCTTGGGAAATATCAAACTTATCAGCTCATCTAAGACAGCGGCACAAATTGCTGGAGGTGAAATTTTAAAGCCAATAGATAAGAGGCATTAGATATTTATTTGACTTTTACATACTACTCCCAGCATGATAAAACTTCAACACAATGCTAGTGGTCATAACATATATATATATATATCACACTTCGTAAAGGAAATTGATAGGTCACATTCTAAAAATGAACGCAAAGAGAAAGCCCTAAAATAGTTTAAAAGTGGACTCCTGAAGGAAAAAGAAAACCTAGTAAACCTAAAAACATGTGTAAGAGGATTGTTAAGAAAGAGAAAGAAGTTTAAATGATTGAGGTAGTAGCCAGAGATCAAAGCACATATAGAAGTATCCTCAGACCCAGTGTTTTATGTAATAGCTGAGATCAACACACAGCAAAGCCGTTGTAGGGGTGGTTTTGGTGATTGACTGAGTTAATGAATAAAAATCATAATGTGTAAGAGACGTGGAAAAACATCACCTCCTTCTATCTTTAGAATAAAAACATGATCTTATATGTCGAGTACAGATTGGAATTATAGACTGTGAATTTCATGGTTGTAAAACTTCCATGTCTTATAAAATTAATACATCTTTATTCGCATATATTCGGCTAAAAGATTTCAAAATTTCAGTTCATGTTGTTCCTATTTATTTAGTACTGATGAATAAGATGTGTTTAGTTGTAAACTACACTGAGTATTGTCCTTAGACATTACTCATAGTTAAGACTAATGCAGGGGTATCAGTCACTATTTGTGGCAAGAACACCAGATAACTTTCATTTCTTTTTACAACATTTAGCGTGCTGGCATATGTAGAGATACAGATTCTGAAATGTCTAGTTCTCTCTATTCTTTAAAATGAAACTTCTCTCCAGGGGGGACTGACAGTCAACTGGCCCCTCGGGCCAATTGGGGTTCTGGGCCTCTTGGTTCGAACTTTGGAAAAAATCGAAGCTCATCAATGTCATTTCCCGAATGCTCATTCATCTGA